TTTCCCTAATGCCTGAAATTTCTGGAGACAAAGCCTTTCAAACCATTTTTGAATGAATTGAGATAATGAATTGAAATGCCACATGCTGAGTGTTCAGTTGGTACCACTTCTGTGGAAGGCAATTTGGTACTATCCAAATTACAAATGGGCCTGCCCTTTGACCCTGAAATACCACTTCTAGGAATAAATCTTGCAGATACACTCTCTCACGAGGGAAATGCCATGTGCATAAGGCCACTCATTATAGCATTGTTTGAAACAGCCAACAGTTGGGAATTAACTAAGAGCGACGGACAGAGCTCTGGCTAACAAGATCATGGAATGTTTCATGTTGTGGACACCAGATCAAGGACATGAACTGGGGAAAGACAGAGAAAAGACCCCTGACGTGTACCATTAAGTGAAAACTGCTAAACATGGAACAGTTACAGTAGGCTAGCATTCATTATTTATGGAAGGAGTGGAGGGCAAGAGTACATATCTACACATTAACAAACGTGGTGGTGGGGCTGGAGTTGTGGCTCAGTGGTAGAACACTTGCCTGGCATGGGTGAGGTCCTGGGTTTGATCCTCAGCATGGCATATAAATAAATACATGAATAAAAGATCCATTTTAAAAAAGAAGAAACATGGGGGTACACCAGAAACTGGTAACAATGATTTTGGTGAAAGAGAGATAGGTAAAGAACTTATCAGATAGGGATAGAGAAGGGAAGAGGATTTTTATACTTTACTTTTAAACCATATAAATGGGTTATCTATTCAAAATGTTGAATTGTTGGAGTTTTTTAAAATACCACATGGGGGGCTGGAGATGTAGCTCAGTGGTAGTCCGATTTCTTGGCATGTGAGAGGCCCTGGGTTTGATCCTCAGGCCTGCAAAAGAATTAACTAGTTCATTGATTGATTAAACTAAATACCCCATAAGGAGGCTGGGGATGTAGCTCAGTGGTAGAACATGCTCTCAGCATGCTCCTGGCCCTAGGTTCCATCCCAGTGCCAAAATATAAAATAGGGTTGGGACTATAGCTCAGAGGTGAAGTGCTTGCTTCATGAGGTCCTGGATTCGAGCCTCAGCACTGTGGGGAAAAAAATATGTGTGTGTGTGTGTGTGTGTGTATGTGTGTGTGTGTGTAGATGGACACAATACCTTTATTTTATCTATTTTTATGTGTTGTGGAGGATCAAACCCAGTACCTCACACATGCTAGGCAAGCACTCTACCACTGAGCTACAGCCACAGCCCTGTAAAAAAAAATATATTTTTAAAAATAAAACACCTCACCTCACGGAAAGAATTACCTAGCAACTACCACTCCTACCAAAGGGTGGAAGTATAATAGTCATTCCTTCATTCAATAATCTCTAGCAGACAAGAAAGTTCTCTATCATTGATGTTTAAGGGTGCAGCAGGTACAAGATGCCAGGTGTTATGCTCAGTGCTTTTGTTATCAGAGGAGTTCCCAGAGAGTGCGACCTCGACTCGCGACAAGTCACCAAGGTTCTTGGCCAAAGAGACAGAACAGAATTTCAGTAAGCATCAGTCAGAGACACAGGCAGAAAAGGAAAGCAGACGCACCTTCAAGGGAGAAGGTGGGCCAGCTACTCCAGAGGAAGAAACAATGGCCGGTTGGTCCGGGGAGTTAATATTTACAAAGGGACAATGGCGAGGGGCTGGGCTAGAGGAGGAGTCAGGGTGGAATTACACACTTTCACACCAGTTTTTCTAGGGCTGGCACTTTGCCCTCAAGTTTTTATAGGCAAGGGCATAGGTCAAGGGCACAGGTCAAGGTGGGGGGCTTCCAACTAAAGTCATGGGCTGGGTGGCCCAAGGTGCTTGTTTTGCATTTCAAAGATTAATTTCCAGCATGCCAGCAGCTCAAGCTTGTGGCCACCTTTCTTTTTCTGTATTCCCAAATTCCTGTCTTAATTTCAGGTACATTAACTCAAACCCTCATTATACACCCCTCACCCCATATTGGAGGGATCTACTATCATGGGAGACAAGCAGAGGATACGAGGGCTGCGAACATCCAAGTCCCCATCCTGGGCCAGGCCCAGTACTGGTCACTCAGGACACCAAGGCAAAGACAGTGTCCCTGCACCCTAGGACCTAATGGTCTAGTGAGGGGCGGGGCGTGTGAAATTGCAGATTCACAGGTTTAGAAAAAAGAAGGCAGGAAGTGAGCCTGAGAGCACGGAGCCTGAGGACCAGGGACAAAGGGAAGAAAGAGGCTGAGACAATAAGAAAACCTCTCCCACAACACCCTAGGCCAAGGACAGGCCCCAGAAGCAGCAGTAGAACTGGGAGCCTATGTGGGAGACAACCGGCAGCCTCAGAACCAACAAAGAACAAAGCCTGCCGTCTCTCTGGGAACAGAGAAGATCTGACAACAGCCCTGCTCGTTTCATCAGTGTAGACATCCCTTCTGGACTTTGAAGCCTGAAGTGCCCTCCTTTGGCTGTCTACACAGATCAAATAATCTGGATGGCTGCCATATCTCGACTTCACTTTGTGCTAATCCATAGTCACAGCCAGCTTCGTAACAATCCGACCAAACCATCTGAGCAGAAGCAAAAATAGTTCTCATGGGCAAAGATAGACAGTTTCAGGACGGGAATGTTAACTCCTTGCTGCCTCTGCAAGAGGGAGGGGATCTTGAAGTTAGTTTTAGGAAGTCTTCAAAAAGGGAGATTCTGCCCCTCTCCAAAGTGAAGTCTCAACGCTATTTTTTCTCACCTTAGAGTTGAAAGCCCTTTCTATACCAGTGAACGCAGATGAAAATTCATAAAAGCCCACAAAAGAACTACATCCCAGTCCTTTGTATTTTGAGAGAGGATCCCCCTAAATTGCCCAGGCTGGCCTTGAATTTATGATCCTCCTGCCTCAGCCTTCAGAGTAGCTGAGATTATAGGCCTGCACTACCACGCCCTGCTCACAAAGACTTGTCTATTCACCAGATCATTCTAGAGGAATTTTTAACCCATCTCCTTCTGATCCCAAGCAGCAATGAGGATTTCAGGAAATCTTCCTCACAGAGACTGGCAGGACCAGGTATCTAACAACAAACCCAGAAGTCAAGTGGCATTATTAATAAGAACAACAACAACAAAAAAAAAAATTAAAAATCTATATGAGTTCTAACATCTACAGTCCTAGCTGTGGTTTCCATGGAAATAGACATCTGCTCCAGGGAGAAAGAAAAGGTGGGGTGAAATGGTGTAAGTGCTTTAAAATAATCAGTGTTTTGAAAGATTAATTTTTTTTCCTGTCACAACATTAGTAGTCAGAAAAGTAAGATTTTCATCTGGCAATTTCTTATATTTTTAAAAATGCATCAAATGGGCGTGACTTTCCTATGCAAACTTACAGATCAAGATTATCTTGAAAGATAAAAGGTTAGTTCAGGGAGTAACAGACCTCTTGGCATTGGAACTCTTGCTCATTTGTGGTGTCTAAGTCATTTTTCAGCAAGGTCTTAGCTTGGCTCCTTTTTTTTTTTTTTTTTTTAAGATACTGCTCAGAAAACTGACAGATGGAAGCACCTGGCCGTTCTGAGGCTAAGTTCCTGAAAGAAGCTTTTCTGGGTTCAGAATATGAATCATTCCTGGTCCGAGCCTGCATGCTGGGCAAAAGCTACTTAGACTAGCTGGGGGGAGGCAGACCCCACACAAGGGCGATTGTTGGAGAAAATGCTGCAACCAGCATATTTCAGGCAACAGCAAGTTGCTAATTGTTTGCTTTGTGTGATATTTGCTGCCTGTATGATTCAGTTTTCATTGTCCCCAACACCTATTAATTGTTTTATCTCTGGCACGTCCCTAGTGACTAACTAGTTATGGAGCCTTTTTAAATTAAAACTGTTATTTCCAGAGAATTGGTCAAATGTGTTTCTTGGTTTAGGAACATTAAGCCCATTAATAAAATGAAGGTGTCCTTTGTTTCATCAGGTCTCAAAGCATATGCCTTGATACACCATCACTAGAGTCTTGGTCAGGGGAGTGGGAGAGGAGATCTGGAACCATGAGCATTTCACTTATTTATTTTTCTCATTTTGTGGGGAAGGGGAGATCAGTCATTTTAAGATAGTCAGGGTCAAACCAATTTCCTCTGTGCCTCTGCTGTGGTTCTGATCTATCCAGGCCAGAGGAACAGTGACCTTGAGGTTCCTTTTGTTTTCATTCTTAAAAAGAGCACTGCACTGCTCCGACGAGCACGTGCTCCAAGAACAAAAGCAACACTTAGCTGCAGTCGGTGTATCTAGAACTGCTACTGGTCTTCCTTCCCTATCATGGTGAAGGGTTGGCAGAGCAGATGGAGTCTGCATTTGAGCCCAGTGGCTTTGTTAGACCAGAGGAGATCAAATTCCAGAGCCTCACGCTTTCCTGCATGGGGTCCCTGGTCACCAGCTCGAGAGGCTGAGGACACTAGTGAGGACGCACACAGTGAGGGAAGAGCCACGCCCGCCCGTGACCCGTTAGCACTGGGTGGGTTAGAGACTATAATGATGTCATAATACAGGTAGCATGCGGGTATCCAGAAGTAGGACGCTAAAGGGCAGGGGGCTATGCAGGGAAGTGGAGTGACATTGTCCTATCACAAGGACTCAGGCATCTTAGGCGACGGTGCGGGGTGGGGCACCAGAAGGGACGTTGCTCTGTTTAGGTGCTGGCACCGGGAAGAACCGGGGTAAGTGGCTCGAACGAGGAAGAGTCCAGGCAGCCAAGGTTTAAGAGGTAGGGCGGGACCCCCTTACCTCCGCCCCGCCTCACCCTACCCTTTCCCCATAGATGCAAAGCCAGCTCTGACTTTGTCCTGGTCGCCGCGCCAACGCCCTCTTTCGCGGTGAGACCGCGCCCTAGCCGCTGTCTCACACCTGGGGAGACCCCCAAGCACTCCCACCTCCGCATTGTCCTCGTGCCCAGTTGGCTTGGACTACACTTCCCGAGGTGCTCCGGGTCCAGAGGGGGCGGAGCCCACTCGGGTAGTGGGGAGGGGTCGGCACGTGCCGCTGCGCTCAGCCAATGCGGAGCCCCGTGGGGAGGTCACGTGCCGCTGTTTGGCGCTTTTGTGCGCGCCCAGGTCTGTTGGTGCTCAGTGTGGCCAGGCGGCTCGGACCGAGCAGGTGGGTGTTGGGTTCTCAATAGGGCCAGTGGTGGCGGGTTGGGGGCAGTTTTGAGAAACGCGG